TCCCATGCAGTCCTCACCCACTCACCATCTCTCACATCAGGCCCCCTGCGCATCTAGTCCTCCACCTTCCAGCGCACGTGCAGTCCTCACCCACTCACCATCTCTCTCATCAGGCCCCCCCGTGCATCCAGTCCTCCACCATCCCGCGCAGTCCTCACCCACACACGCCGTCTCGCTTGCTGCTGTCGTTCTCGGCATCTTCTGTTCTCTGGATCCCCTCTGCGTCAACCCCTTCACTAAGCGGTTTGCTGCCCACTTCAGAGGCCTCCACAGCCTTGTCTCCAGTGGACGCTGTGGAGTCTGACTGCACTGCTGCTCTGGTCTCTGCAGGTTTACCTGGAAGCTGTAAAAAATCTGATTTATCAGAAGGGTGCCCATCTTACCATGAGCACTGTGCTCAAAAACTGCATATGCAGTATCACAACAAGCAAGGGCAAGACTCAAGTTGTCAACAACGTCATTTTCTCTTGATTCACAATCAGGACTTGTACACAGAAAGCAAGAAATCAAAAGACGTACTGTTATCAGGCAAGTGTGCCATGAAGGACCACTTTAATGTGCTGAAGAGCGAAGATGTCAGTTTACAGCAAAAGGAGCACCTAAGGCAAGTCATGGTCTATTCACCTGCTTCCTATCACTGTGAAAGGTACACCATGAAACAATGGGGGCCTAGGGGTAAGGAGCTGCACTGCCAACCTCAACACACACAGTTTGAATCCCCCAGCTGCTGTGTAGGAGAAAGACGGGTACTGTCCTCTGTTAATTCCTGCATCAAAGCCCGCAGGAGGGTCACCTAGGAGTCAGTTCCAACTTGAAGGTAGACAAATAACAGGGAAGACTCAAGAATACTTGATGCCTTTGAATTGTGGTGGTGACAGAATATACCACAGAGCAAACAAATTGGTGTTGGAGGAAACGTGGCCAGGCTGCCCCTGAAGAGAGAAGGATGGTAACACTTTGTCCCACGTACTCAGCACGTTGTCAGGCATCATGCTGGAACAAGCAGGTCCGCAGAGGAGGGGAAGAACCTCAACGCGATGGACTGCCAGTGACCGCCCGGGGCAGCGTGAGGATGTGAGGGTGGCACAGGGTCAGCGGGCTCAGTTCTGCTGTACGGGAGGCTGCCGTGTCCCACGCTGCAGCAGACTCGACAGACCCTAACAATGATCTTAAACCATCTATCTTTTGCCTAAGAGCCTGGTGGACAGTTTTTTTGAGGTCTCCTAACGGCCACAATAAGCCTGTTCCATGGTGACGGTGACAACGGAGCAAGGATTCACGTGGAAACGCCTCTAGCAGAGCTGCCGTTGGGGCACGATGGGGACACCGGGAACATGACCCCAATATGTGGAGAGAGGAGACGTGTACGTAGGTAGTGTGCCATGCTTCAGCCATGCTCAGCTGTGTGGAAACGAGGAGAGCGTGGTCCAGCGTCAGGGGAGCCCCCATGCACACGGTGGGCCCCACCGAGGACGGGAGGTATCAAAATGTGTTGCACAGAGGGAACAAAATGGTACACTGAAATGCCAAACTTCTTCCAGTCCACATCAGGTCTGAACAGGCAGGGAGGCTGGCAAAGCAGGTGACACTCCCCTACACAGCGCTGAGTCCCGCCCACAAACCCCTGGGTCGGCACCAGCAGAACTGGCCTTGGGGCTGGGCCCCCCGAGCACATCGGGAGTGACCCAGGGTGCACCAAGTGCTGGTTTGGGGCTGTAAGTGAACCCCAGAATGTCAGAGAGCTCACACATGCTGAACCTGCAGACTCCACCGAGCCAACACCCCGAGCAGAGATTCTCCAAGATGAGCCTTGGCATACAGGGTTCACTTCCTGGTGCTTCGCTGTGTCTCCCACAAATTCCTGAGTGAAATCAGCTCCCGGAGTGTGACGTGTTTCTCCCTTAATTAATCCCATTAATTATGCACATGGTCTGAGTTCTGTGTGACAACTGGAGCAGAGAAACCGAGCAGAGCAGGAGGGCCAACTGGCATCGAGCTGCCGAGAAGGCCGGGGTGGTACTCGGCCTCTGCTTCCAGCGATCCACGGGCTGTGGTGCAGTCTCTCTCCCTCAGGTGCTTTGTTTCCTCCACTCCCCCACAAACACTACTGGGTGATTTTAATGACACACGATAGTGTTCACTGTGCCCACAGCTCTGTTCCTGAAGTAGCAATCAAGTTCCAGCAGTCCAGGTCATGTCCCTTCAGAGGCACCGGGACACTAACCAAGGGACCCGAGGCTACATCCACTCTGAGACACTTCTGAAAAGGCCTGCCCATGGGCTTCAGACAAGTGGTGGCCATGACAGCCCAGGGAGGACGTGCTACTTCAGACAGACAAAGGACACGATGGACCACGGAGGACACGCTACTTCAGACAAAGGACACGACGGACCACGGAGGACGGTTCTACTTAGCAAGATGGTGGCCACAACGACCCACAGAGGACGGTTCTACTTCAGACACAGACCAGTCCGCAGAGGACATTTCTCCTTCAGACAGACAAAGGACACAACAGCCCCCAGAGGACGGTTCTACTTCAGACAGAGACCAGCCCACAGAGGACATTCCTCCTTTAGACAAAGGCCATACCACATGCTCTGCCACGTATTACACGTGTAATACTGAGTATTGTCTGTGGCCCAACCTGACTCAACAGCTCTTCGGGACACAGGCCCAAGAGAGCCTGTGAACGTAAATGCTGACAGGGAGGCCCCTGGAGCTGCCAGAACTCCTCCTGGGAGGCATCGTTTCTGCTGCTTCTCCACAGGTCAAGTGTGCAAAGCTGGTCTTGTTCATGCACAGACCCTCGGCCTAGTGCCCCACTGTGACCATGCTCACTAGGCTCTGACAGAAGGAAGGCCCACGGCAAACACCAATGTCCCCCTGTCCACACAGGCAGGCCCTGCTGACTTAATTGCTGACTTCAGGGTACCCAGAAGCAGCAGCCCAGGGAGTAGCCACGTATGGTCAGAACAGCTGCACTGCTCCCCCGTCAGGCCTGCACTGAGGGGGTCCTGTCCCCAGCTGCGATGACCCACGACACAGCCACTCCGGTCAGTCCTGACTCATAGCATCACCTTCAGGTCTTTTCTACTGAGTCACTTATCTTTCTTCTAAGACAGCCTGCTTTTGGGAAAACTCAAAATTCCCTCTTGTTGAGGTTAAGCTTCTGCCTTGAGCCCTCCTCTGCCTGAGCACACTCTCAATGCCACCTGTCAGATTCTGCTTTAAATTTATAAAGACTCCATGTTTGGAGTGGGAGGAAAATGTGACCTAAAACAATCCCTGACTACAGCCCTTACACGTCTCAGACCTGAAATGGAAACTGGTCCTGGAACTCAACTTCCAAGCAAACAACAGACAGGCCTATTAAGGTGACCAGTAACATGGGGAGAAACACACTCCTTGGAAGGCCGGAAGCACCACACTGACCCAGGGAGCAAGCTCAGGAAGCAGGAAAAGGGCTAGGAAAGCAGAATGAGTGGGAATAGGAAGCCCAGGGGAATGTGGGCAGACAGCTGCTGCAGCCAGGACTGCAGTCAGGGCCATACAACATCCAGGTACGAGCTGCTGACTGGGCTGTTCTAGAAACTCAAATCATGACAGAAAGCTTGGTAAGGAAAACAAAAAAAAATATGCTCAAGCGTCCTATGAGTTTAGTTTGAAGATGTTTACCTTTGGCTGTCGTTTATTCCACGGCATTGGGGAGTTCTTTACTAAAACGGCCACAAAGAATCCTCCAGTATTTTGATGATGTGGTAATATTCTAAGGCTAAACAAATACAAACAAATTAACTTACTCCAAATACATTTGTAGCACTGAGATAACTACTATGAAGATTACCCGGGACAGAAAACCCGCTTAACACACATGTTCACAGACCCTCTCATGAACTGTCAATGTATAAGAGCTGTCATGGTTTTTGCATTGAAATTTATTTTATTAGAAATTAGTATCGCTACTCCTGCTTTTTTTTGGTTGCCATTTGCTTGGTATATTTTGTCCCATCCTTTAATTTTTAGTCTTTCTTTATCTCCATTTTTCAGATGTGTCTCTTGTAGAACAAGAACTGTGCAAGGATGCCCATTATCTCCTCTCTTATTCAATATTGTATTGGAAGTCTTAGCGATAGCAATAAGACAAGAAAAAGACATTAGAGGTATACAAATTGGCAAAGAGGAAGTAAAATTATCCCT